CCAAAGGCAGCCAATGAAAACGAGCGTTTCGGTGACGACAGAACGACGCTGGGCGGGACTTTTGGCTTTGCTTGCAGGAGATTTCTTTGAAACTTTCTGGGATCTGTCAGTCGGGTTCGCAGGGAACTGGTTTCAGCTGCACCGGTCCTGGCAGGGAAACGGGAGAGTTAGAAGCGTTTGTCTTCGGTCACGGAGAGGGATCTGAGGTTTGTGGCCACCCGGGGGGCCCGGGCCGGGCTTGCAGGAGGGATTAGCCATGTCCCAGGGCCCCGCCGGCCAGTGGAGCCCGATGGTGATCGTGGAGGCTGCGGGTGGAGCCCTGCCCCAGGTGAGCGCTCGGCGATCGCCCGCCTACCTGGGTTCTCCTAGAGCTGTGCCATCCGGCTCAGGAGCCAACCGGGCAGGCCCGGGGCGGGGGTCCCCGACTGCAGGACGCTGGTGGACAGGCTTCTTATTTCTGACATCTGTGTGCTAGAAAACGATCCCCTCTGACTCACAGTGACTGTGCTCGCCGAGGCTTGTGGGCGGGCCTTGAGCTCCCTGACAGTTGTAACCCTGGAGTGACCCCTGCTGGCATTGCATTAGACAGGGGAGGGCTCGGTGCACCCAAGAGCTGACTTTTGTTTGTGGAGACTCCACGGGAGATTTGAACATAGGAGAGATTCGATCTATCTAGTTTTCCAAGCGTCGCCGGGGAACATGGGGCTGAGATTGGGTAACGTGGATGGAGAGAGAGACCTATGAATCCCTGGGTACATACTGTGGAGTCATGCACGGGTTGGAGTGTGGGCCATAGAGGTGGTGAGTCTTCAGATCTTTGATAGATTCCTTTTATTTTCTATTGACATCTATCATCTGTCTATCTATCATATCTATTTGTCATCTATCTATCTATCTATCTATCATCTATCTATCATCTGTCATATATCAATCAATCTATCTATCTATCATCTATCTGTCATCTGTCATCAATCAATCAATCAATCAATCTATTTATCTATCTGTCATCTATCTATCTATCTTCCATCATCTATCTTCAGGCACTCTCTCTCTATATATACACCAGGCTGTCTTCAAACTCGGAGATACTTCTACCTTTAGTTCCTGAGTGATGGGACAAAAGGAGTCGCCCCCCACAAAGGTCCTCTTTCATGGTTTTTAAAGTTGTAGTTTCTTTCCACTTTGCTTTTAATTTTTGTTTTATTTTTATTTTTTTGTCTTGGCTGGAACTCACCCAATTTAGACCCGGCTTGCCTTGAATTCACAGGGATCTGCCTTCGTCTGTGTTCTTATTTGGGGTAGTGCTGCCAACTGAACTCTGGTTGTCTGTAAAAAGAAGGAAATTCTCTAAACATCGGAGCGGTCTCTCGGGCCCTTCCAATGTATCTTTTTGTTTTGTTTTGATTTGTTTTTTTGAGACAGGGTTTCTCTGTGTAACAGCCCTGGCTGGTCTGGAACTCACTTTGTAGACCAGGCTGGCCTCGAACTCACTGCCGCTGCTGAGTGCTGGGATCAAAGGTGTGTGCCACCACCACCCGGGCATTTTTCCCCCAGCACTTTTTTTTTGTAAGATTTATTTATTTATTTATTTATTTATTTATTTATTTAGTATACAGTGTTCTGTCTGCATGTATCCCTGCAGGCCAGAAGAGGGCACC